AGTATATTAATAATATTAGGTACTTACCTATTTTAAATACTTATATATTTAATATATTTTTTTTCCTTAAGAGATATATAGGCCTAGCTGCTACTTTAAACTTATCATATGCCTGCTCCCAGTCTACTAAAATTTATTCTAAGACACTTCTTTCCATCTTTTCCGCAATCTTTCTCATGGTCTTCTTTCCTCTCACTATACGTACCTATATGTCATTGATCAATTGATCCTTTCAACATATTTCCATTACCCCGCTGTACCATCACTAGAGGAGTCCACAGGGGGGGGGGCTAACGGGTGGAAGAACCCCCATTGCCCGTATTATATTACTTAAAAAATGCGCACTGTCACGGAGCTATTGAATTTCAGTCGTTAGCTGGCCGCATGACACTTGCGGCTTGTATTTGCAAACTGAAAAGACCTGTGTGTAACTTGAACTTACGATACTAGTAATAATCGAACACAACTTTTTGCTCTTTGGTGTGCACTGGTTTTACTGAACAAATTTCTTATTGCAAGGTAATATAACAATAGTGTTGTATAAACGAAGGGGGTATGATCATACCGTACAATGACCTATTGACGGGAATGGCGATGTACAAAATATAGATATACATAAACAATCTTATCTGCTGGTGGTGGTGATAGTGGCCAACAGCTAATCCCTGGACACGACGATGAAGACCTTGGTGCCAACTTACAGCAAAAAAAGTGGGCTGGTGCACCGATCGACGGGCCGGCGATGACGGAATTGGTATACCTGTCTGGTGCGGCGCTCGCGGCGTAACGGCTTACAACAGGGCACAGTGGAAAACCCAAATGCGGCCGATCGCGACTCACGATGGATCAGCGAACGGGGACGCATTCAAGAGTGACAAGAGTGAACGGTTTGACGCACGAGCGCGGTCAATGATTGTTCACGCGTACGGTGATGGGCGACGAGGGGGTCCGAACACGCACTACGGTGAATGTGACTTGGAGTCGACGTTACCTACTACAGTAGCGGACTGGAGCGTTGACGCACATGTGAAGGTCGAAACGGCCGATTACGAACGAAGAAACACAACGCGAAACAGAACGCTCGTATTCCAAACGGCGGGTATACGGGAAAGTGGTCGACGGACGGATTTGGACACTCGATCAACAACAAAAGATGGCGCGGTTACAAAAACAACATCGGCCGGCCAAGCACGAAAGTGGGTAGAGAACAGAATGACGGTGGTAGCCGCGGCCACAAGCGATCACGGGATCGGGTTGTGAAAGGGACGGGGTTCATCTTCGCGAATTTTCAACACCCGACTTGACGTACATCGGATCAAAAGCGCCGTTGCACAAAAAAAAATATTTATCAAGTTTTCACTGTCAATTATAGTAAGCAAGGCGTAAATTTCATATACGTCTTACCAGAATGAATTCATTTTTGAAAAAACATTGTATTTTCATACCAATTTTCCTAAAATGATCTGTAATTTTTCGGTAAAAGTATAAACTACCTGTATGAAAGACCTTGTATTAAATTCTCTAGTCTTAGCTAATACAAGTTTAATATTTTATAAGTTTTGAACTATAAATTAACTGTGGTTTTGAAAAAATTTGAGCTTTAAATGCTTATAAAAAATAACCATGGCTGCATTATTATAACTTTTTCAAAAAATATTTAGTTATCACTTTTCATCTTTCGACTATGGCAATCAAGACGTAAATTTCATATATGTCTTACCAGAATTATTTCATTTTTGAATAATTTTAATAAATTTTCATTTATTTTTCTCTAATTATTTTAAAAAGCACAGAAAATTTTAAATTTAAACCTCCTAAAAGTACCAACTAATATAATTTGCTTCCAAAAACATGTACCGGGTTCGAAGCTTATGCTCAGAGCATTTTTTCTCTCAGATAAGTTGAAAAGTTACAAACATTTTAAAATACCCCAAATAAATGTCTGAAACCATTAGACTGGACAAAATAAAAATTACTAATTTTCAAGCCCCCCCCCCCCCAAATATAAAAATCCTGCGTACGCCACTGATAACCACCATTATATATCCTTATCCCTCTGATGCATTAGCCCAATCTATCTTTTGCGAAGCTGGTAGAATTGGGCGTTATCTCCTTTAATCAACTTTTCCTACAACAAAGTCTAATTGAAGTTATTATCGTCGTAACAGTAGTTATCTATTAACTTCAAATGTCAAAAAAAAAATATTTAAGTGGTTTAATGAAGAGAAAACTAAAGTATAGACGATATGAAGAAACAAAAAAACTACACAGTAGGAGATAATGTACGTTTAGAACTAGTTCATCCTACTAGCGAACATCGAAAATCGAAATGTTGTGACAACTGATATCTGAATCAAATTTTGACTTATAACATTACACTTAAAAACATTTGTCTTGATATATAAGTTTAATAATCAATTATACAATCAAAAAAAAAAAATTACGTTTTGCTTTTTAATTGTGTACCTACTCATTTGAATAAAAATTAAACATTAATTAGACGCATGAAAATGTAAATTGCTCTTGTATATTAATTATCAAATTTTAACAATAAATACGATTTTATATTCTATGATCCAACTACTTACATATATTGCACTCATTTAAAAATACAATTTGCATACATTTTATTTTAGCATTGAAGAAAGAAGAGATGGACAATTGGGGCCCCAAAATTGAATAACGTACAGGACCCATAAATCATACATTTTTAAATCAGGCCCTGCGCATAATCCACTACAGAGTACAATAACCCATGGGGTGCCTGAACTCCACGTAAACTGCTAACTTTGACTACTGACTTAGGATTTGTGCAATATTATGTTAAATATGATTCAAGTTTAGATTTTTATAAATTATTTTGTTGCACATGAAAAATATATAGGTAGATTCGATTTAAGAAATGATAAGATTTTTGAAAGCATAGATAAGATTACTTTGCATCGGTCGGAGCAGTTGTTCAAGTTAAGAACATTTTTGACTTGGTTAGACAATATAAATTTATAATTTTTTATTTATTAAATATATTGAAAACTATTAAAAATATTAAATAATATATGATCCAACGGATCCAAAACGAAACTTCTTTATCAATCAAACATTTTTTTGGCATTTATTATTTAATAAAACAACTGGGAGTAAATTAATTTCTTTCATTAAAGTAACTTCCAGGCGAAGGCAACATGTTGTATCACGATCATACGACATAATAATAAGTGTGACGTTTAAATGCTGCACATTAAGTTTTTTGATCGGTTTGGCGATCCATATAGATTTTTTAGATGCTTATAAATTCAACAATTTTTATGAAATTACAATCGAACTTTAGGAAGTATGTTTAATTTACTACCACTTTTAATAGCCATAGCCGTCCCAGGGGGGGGGGGCAAATGGGGCAAGTGCCCTAGGGCGTCTAAAGTATTATGAATTTAGGGGGCGTACTAGAAATGGATGATAAAAAGAAAAATTTGGTGTTCTTATTTTAGGTATTATTTTTTTGTTTATACTGTAATATCAAAGATGAGTATCTATCAAATTGTATACTATTAAGTAGGTATACAATTATGTAAATAATGTGTTAAATCTTAATGCGACATAACTTCAATAATAATATATTGAATATTCATAAAAACAAATAAGAATATTAATACTTATAATTTATAAGATTATTAAGATTACAATAGTAATTTATTTAAGCACATGAAATATATTTTAAATATGTATATACATCATTACAATAATTAAGTAATATACTGTATACTATATTGTAATATACTTATAAACTAAACTAATTCATATCTTTGGTACCTAGTAGTACCTTTTTTATTATGTGTCTGTCATCACGTTTTAGGACAGTAAAAGTGCTTGGATTTTCTTCAACAGTATCTTTTCTTATAGGAAAGTGAATCTAGTTGGTACTTTGGGGGTGGGGGGGGGGTCAAAATTTCCCAGTAGTTTTCACAAGCACCGGGAAACAAAACATAAAAATTAAGGAAAAACGGGAATTTTTACGCAAAATCGGTTTTCCAAAAATCGATTTTGATTTTTGGTGTAACTCTAAAAGAAATTAACAAGAATATGAGAATATACAAGAAATTTTCCCTGGTTGTTTATATTTACATTTTGTATACACGATAACATTTTAAAAATATTTTGATTAATTTTGAACTGTTTGGGAACATTTTCATTTTCCATTTTTTTTTAGTTTTTTTTTTTTAAATATCAATAAAATTGTATTTGTTGGTTAAAAAAGCTTGAAAATTTAATAGAGGGCTATTAGTATATTGTTTCAAAGGCAAATGAAAAATATTAAAAATCCTTAGTCAACAATTATTTTTATAAGCATTTAATATTCAAAATTGACAAAATATGGAAAAATCACGAAAATTAGCAAATTATTTTGAGTTAAGAATTCGTAAAAATTTTCTTTTTAATCTAGATTTGAAAATGTAATACAAGATTCCTTATAAGATTATCTACCCTTATCAAAAAAAAAAATGTCTATAAGAAAGTCAAATTAAATTTTTATGAGCGTTCGAAATCCGTAATATTTAAGTATAAAACGAACAATTTCAAAATGTTTTAACTTAATGGATTTTTTTAAATCAACTGAAAAAAGCTAAGTTATTTCAATTGTAAATTAAACTATTTAAGTTCATAAGTTGATTAGAAAATAAACTAACTAGTTAAGTTAAAAAGTTAAAAAAAATTAACTTTTAACTGAACTTTAACTTTTCAACTAGTTAATGCCCACCTTTGAATTTTATAATCACTTATATTCACTTGTGCAATTTACAATGTTGATTGTTTACTACACTGTATTATACACACGCAGAAACGCAGAATGTATGATTTATAATGAAATCTAGGTACTAATTTGTGAAAATAGTTATATATATTTTCTTTCTGTAATGTTTCAGTGTTCCCAGAATAATGAAATCGGTGTTCAAATATAAACAAAATAAATATGATCTCAATAATAATATTTAAAAAAATAAGTAGGAACCTTTAATTAATAAGTACCTATTAAACATATTTAAGGTATGTGGTTAATTATAAGCTAAAAATGCGAAGTCGAGATTTTTTGGTGGGAGGGTGAGGGGCGTCAAATATTGTTGCCCTAGGGCGTTATTGGTGGTTAGAGCGGCACTGTTAGTAGCTCTTGTAGTTATGTAAACAGAATAGATTTCATATTTTGTGAAGTAGTGACATGTACTTGCATGCGATAGTCGCATTCAAATTAAAAAAGTGTTTTAAAATCATTTAACTACCTAACAAGTAATTCTTTGTTCTGAGTTTATTCGCTCTGTGGACTTTCATCTCCTGAGCTCACGTCAAAGAAGATACTCAAATACTTGCCCACTGTACATACAGGTAAGAAATTATATTAATATATTAATTCATAACCAATGATAATAATAATTTGTAATAATACCTATTAATGAATGAATTAAATCTTCAAATAAAAAGGCTTACATGCATAAGCTCAAAAAGGGGGGCTTTAGGGGCTAAGCCCCAACACCCAATGTAATAGCCTCCCCAAACATTTCCAACTATTTTTTAACAAAAAAAAATCATTTTTAAATTTGATAAATGTTTTCACAAATCGAACTTTAAATGCTTATAAAAAAAAAAAGTTGGGTATGTATTTTTAATATTTTCAACCGGCTATTTAAGCGATATATTAGGAGCCTGTTATTAAATTTTGACGCTTTTTGGCCCAACAAATAAAATGTTATTGACATGTAATATATAATATTTAGACTTAGAATAAAACATGAGACAAATAATGAAAACGGACCATATTATGAGGTGGGTGATCCGATATGCATATATACAGACGCCATTAGGTAGGTACATATATATGTTACCGGAATAGATGAAAATTCAGGAATTGTCGGTATATCCTAGTCATTGTTGGCCAATGGGCTGGAAAGGTTAGGCATGTTGGATGGTTCGTAGTTTTAATCAACTTTCCGTATTATATTAGACATGTTTTAAATCCGAATTGAAAAAAAATATCGACACCGCGCTTTATGCGGTGATCGATCTGATTATGAAACATAGCTATCTATAATTATATATTATCTATTACTTATTAGTTATTATAGTATATAATATGGTAAATCCTGTTTTATGTTATCGTTTTTATTGCTTATAACTTATAATAAAATTGATTATACAGAACTATCGTACCTAGCTGGTATCGTTATGGTCACATCCCGAAAGTGACTGTACACTGTACAGTATTGTTTGTGCAT